TACAACCTTTTGAACCACACCCCCAGCTTCAGTGGGGAGTTGGACTGACCAGGTACAACCCCAGGGGTTGTGCAGGCTGGGCCGGGCCATGAGAAGAACTGCAGAGCCAGCACCCCATCATTCCTACCCAGACATTCCCCCCACATATCACCAACCCCGTCTCACTCAACACCATTGCCACCTTATCACGAAAGCCTGGGTGGGGCGAGCTCATTTTCCTAGCAGAGCTCTGAGCCAGCTGGCCTTCAGCTGCTGCCCTGTGACACCCAAAGGGTTAATTTAGAGGGAGCTGATTAGCCTCCAGGATGGCCTGGTTGATCTCCACCCGCATCTTTATGGTTCTGGCCCATGTTTCTTACGGAACGAAATACGACTCGATGTCCCTTTGAGCCATTGTATAAATATGACCAAACAAATCAAATCAAGCCCACACAGCACTAAGGCTAAACCGGTATAAACACCACGACGCTAACTATGGGTTGAACACAGAGTTGTCAAGCTATGGGCAAATCAGTAACTCAATCAGTCAATGATATTGCATTGGAATCAAGTCATCAATTTAGTCAGCTGATCAGAATAACACAACAGATAATCCACACTCATAAATCCTAAAACAGTAATGCGAGGAGCGGCGGCCTGTTTAGAGATAAACCCCTGTCAGAAAAATTCATCCAGGCTGTGCAATCCACACTGAACTGGCTGAATATTTCAGTATTGAAACCAAATGACTGTTCATGTTTAAACTACAATCTTAAAGCCAATTAAAGGTTCCTCCTTAGATTGCACGATTGTGTGGGTAACCCTTCTCCTTCCCCCTCCAACACAAATACAGACTTTAGTGAGGCTTTTGAAGCAGAAGTTTAACAGCTCTCACTGAACCGTTCATAGCTGACAGTTTAGTTTCTTTAGAAGCTTTCACAGGATGAGACGCAAACGTCAATGATGTTGTAGGGCAGAGTTTCAGAAGAAGTTAGATTTGGGGAACTATTCTTTCTGGCATCTTCCCTGTGCGGATTTTACAGGTGATCAACACAGATGCATGTGAAATACACCTTGGAGACAGACAATGTGGCCCAACCTAATTGGAATGAGGCAGACTTTGGGCTAATCTCAGTTTGGAAAAGTCTCCCTTAACTCAGAAGTTTTCTTAATATAGCTGTTGTTACCAACCATATTCAGGATGGATGTGTGACCGCCAAAGGTATCAAAAAGGAAAGAAAAGCCCAGTTTTGAGGTTTCCATAGCTTGGCCTCAGACTTTAACAGCCGGCATCCTCAAAAGGAAAAGGGATCTCTGCACTCCTCAAAATAACTGGTTGCAAAACTTTTTAACAGAAAATTTACCCACTGCATCATGCATCCATCACCATTCTTAAAAACAAATGTGGACGTTTCATGACAGATGTCACCTCTTGTTTGCAAATAAATAAAACCTGAACTTAGCATAATACATCTGTCAAAACAATAAATATGCCTTTTGGGGCCTTGCAGTGAAAATGAGCACGTGAGACAGGGTGGGGGAGAGCAAGCGACGGAGGGAGTGGGGAATGGAGTGAGTGGGGGGGGACCTCAGGAAGGGGTGGGGCAGGGGCAAGGCCTCAGGAAAGAGGCAGGGCAGTGGGCGGGGCAAGGGTGTTCGGTTTTCTGGAATTAGAAAGTTGGCAACCCTAAATTTGGAGTGTGCTGTTGTTCATCATTTCAGACTGGAGATTTAAAAACACTGCAGTTTCCTTGGTAGCATGCCCAATAACTTGGAGTATTCTCTCCTGTTGACTGAACTGCACTTGAACTTTCTCGATGGCCTCGTGGATGCGCCAGGAAAGAAGCAAAAATAAACTAAGAAATAAAATCTCTACGTCCCCTGTAGATCTGAACTACATTTTGTCAAACAAAGTTACGTGACCAAATGGCCTTCAGGAAAGAGAGAAAACCGCATCTCAAAGAGGTAAACGACACTTTCAGTTTCATAGAAAGTCACATTCCAGAGCAGGTTAAATGGGATGACTCTGAATAAGGACAAGATTCTCCCACTGCGGTCACCTCTGACCTATTCAAACCTGTTTCACTCAGCACTGTCTCATTATTATGGAGTTGTGTTATTTAAGAAAATGTTATCATCATCATAATGGGAAAAAACCAGCCAGCCTTTTCTTCGGCAAATAATCCCAACTCAGCAGGAAAATGACCAGAAGTGGCTTTGGAAATAGATCCGAACTGGGATTTAAATTTCTAATGCTCATGTCATGTTTGGGATTGAATTCCCCTTTCCGGTTGGTGACTCTTTCATCTGCAGCCCAAATGAATCTGATTTCAGATCACAGAAATTAATGTATGATTCCCAAGCACAGATAGCTGAGAACACTGCATTCATAGGCGCCGGCTTGCAATTGTCCCGGGGGGTGCACAACCCCCACTCAACCCCAGACGCCGCCCTCCACTCCACCCCTTCCCCAAATGCCTCACCCCCACCCCGCCTCTTCCCCACCTCTTTCCGCTTCCTCCCCTGAGCGTGCCCCGTCCCCACTCCTCCCCCCCCTCCCAGTGCCTCCTGAATGCTGCAGAACAGCTGATCCATGGTGAGAGAGAGGCACTGGGAGGGAGGGGGAGGCGTTGATTGGTGGTGCCGTCAGCAGGCGAGAGGCGCTGGAAGGGAGGGGGAGGCGTTGATTGGTGGTGCTGTTGGCAGGTGAGAGGCGCTGGGAGGGAAGGGGAGGAGTTGATTGGTGGTGCTGTTGGCAGGCGAGAGGCGCTGGAATGGAGGGGGAGGCGTTGATTGGTGGTGCTGTTGGCAGGTGAGAGGCGCTGGGAGAAGGTGGGGAGCTGGCTGCTGGTGGGTCCTAAGCACCCGCTACTTTTTTTCCATGGGTACTCCAGCCCTGGAGCACCCACGGAGTCGGCACCTATGACTGCATCATACGACGCTTGAGAGGTGGAGGGTAGGATGTGAAGAAAATAAACTCCATATGGCTTCAACAGAAGGTAACACTGCTGTGGTGATGGGGAAGGTGGGGATCTCCTTCAGGTGTCACAGAGACTGAAACTACACTTTTCTTCCTGCCCCTGTTCCTGCTCTTTGTTATATTTAAAAATATTTTAAATGATAAAAAGGGTATACGAAAGAATGGCTGTTCAGCTCCAGGCAGTGCAAGTGGGAATGAGACAACCCTGTCCCAAGAGGGGAACTTGGGTGACTCTAAAGCAATGGGAGGAACAGTAGAAATGAGATACGATGGGTTTCTTTAGACTAGGAAACTGATGGAGGAAACATGCTAAGTAACCCCAGCCACTATAAATGGGCTATGCCTTTATTGCAGGAAGTTTTGGGTTTTTACAACGGGATATTTAACTCAAACCAACTACAGCCGTGGAAAATCCTTGTGGAGACCCATGTAGTTAGTTGAGGTCATCCTTATCTCTCCCACCTGTGGCTGATGGACATTCCTGGTAGGACTCATAGGACAAAGGAGTTGATAGAAAGGACCATGGGATTCACCCCAAAGAAGGGCAAGCTGCAAAAGGCAACAAGGATTAGGGGGTAGCTGTGTTAGTCTGAATCCACAAAAACAACAAGGAGTCCGGTGGCACTTTAAAGACTAACAAATTTATTTGAGCATAAGCTTTCATGGGCTACAGCCCACTTCATCGGATGCATAGAATGGAACATATAGTAAGGAGATATATATACACATACAGAGAACATGAAAAGGTGGGAGTTGCCCTACCAACTCTAAGAGGCTAATTAATTAAGACGAGCAATGATCAGCAGGAGAAAAAAAAAACGTTTGTAGTGATAATGACAAGAAGGTGTGAAAACAACAAGGAGTCCGGAGGCACCTTAAAGACTAACAAACACCTACAAGATCTTTATCAAGCATTCTTAAAACTACAATACCCACCTGGGGAAGTGAGGAAACAGATTGACAGAGTGAGACAGGTACCCAGAAATCACCTACTACAGGACAGGCCCAACAAGGAAAATAATAGAACACCACTGCGCATTACGTACAGCCCCCAGCTAAAACCTCTTCAGCGCATTATCAATGATCTACAACCTATCCTGGAAAATGATCCCTCACTCTCACAGACTTGGGAGGCAGGCCAGTCCTCGCTTACAGACAACCCTCCAACCTGAAGCAAATACTCACCAGCAACTACACATCACACCACAGAAACATTAACCCAGGAACCAATCCCTGTAGCAAACCTCGTTGCCTACTCTGTCCCCATATCTACTCTAGTGACACCATCAGAGGACCCAACCACATCAGCCATACCATCAAGGGCTCATTCACCTGCATGTTTACTAATGTTATATATGCCATCATGTGCCAGCAATGCCCCTTTGCCATGTACATTGGCCAAACTGGACCATCCCTACGTAAAAGAATAAATGGACACAAATCGGACATCAGGAATGGTAACATACAAAAGCCAGTAGGTGAACACTTCAATCTCCCTGGACATTCTATAACAGATTTGAAAGTCACTATTCTTGAACCAAAAAAACTTCAGAAACAGACTTCAAAGAGAAACAGCAGAACTAAAATTCATTTGCAAATTTAACACCATTAATCTGGGTTTGAACAGGGACTGGGAGTGGCTGGCTCATTACAGAAGCAGTTTTGCCTCTCCTGGAATTGACACCTCCTCATCTATTATTGGGAGTGGACCACATCCACCCTGATCGAATTGGCCCTGTCAACACTGGTTCTCCACTTGTGAGGTAACTCCCTGCTCTCCTTGTGTCAGTATATAATGCCTGCATCTGTAACTTTCACTCCATGCATCTGAAGAAGTGAGGTTTTTTACCCCCAAAAGTTTATGCCCAAATAAATTTGTTTGTCTTTAAGGTGCCACCAGACTCCTTGTTGTTTTTACATCTTCTTGTCATTATCACTATAAAAGTTTTTTTTCTCCTGCTGATAATTGCTCATCTTAATTAATTAGCCTCTTAGAGATGGTAGGGAACTCCCACCTTTTCATGTTCTCTGTATGTGTATATATATCTCCTCACTATATGTTCCATTCTGTGCATCCGATGAAGTGGGCTGTAGCCCATGAAAGCTTATGCCCAAATAAATCTGTTAGTCTTTAAGGTGCCAAAAGGCAACAGTGGGAAACTTATCTGGGGGACCCGCAAGTGACACAAATGGTGCAAACAGCCTTAAAGGTCACTATGTGGCACTTAAGAAAAACAATCTTTTGTCAGCTCTAGACAAGGTTTTGGGGGGTTTCTCTTCCTGGTGGATTCTCTGCTGACAAAGAGCTGAGCTCTCATGGAAGCTTTTCCCCACACTAGAAGCACCTACATGTTCTCTGTCCTGTGTGGCTCTTCTGATATGCGATAAAGAGTAAGCGCAGAGGGAAGGTTTCACTGCACTCCCAGCATTCATAGGGGCTCTATTCCTTGTGGATTTTCTGATGTGTACAAAGGTTTGCACTCGGACTGAAGGTTGTACTACACTCCCAGCATTCATAGGGGCTCTCTCCTGTGTGGAGTCTCTCCTGTCTAATAAGGCCATTGTGGTGACTGAAGTTTTTCCCACACTCAAGGCATGTGTTGTTTGTCTCTCCTCTGCTTTCCTTGAGGTCCTTTTGAGTTCCCTGACAATTACTGGATTTATCCACTTTCTCCCCTGCTTGGTTTCCCAGCTGTCTTCCTGGCCTGTGCTGACTTTCCCAGGTTTTTCCCTGCTCGTGACTCCTGGACACATTCCCTTTCGATCTTTGTGATAATGTTCTGTGCAGTTCCGCTTGCTCAGCACCTTCCTGCTCAGAATTCTGTTCTGCATCCGCACTCACCATCCCATCGCCTGCGGGGAAACAGAGAGAGAGAGAAGCCTCAGCAGCAGGGATGGAAAAGGGCAGAACAAACCAAAATAAGAGCTCGAGAGCTGAGGAAATAAATCAGGAACTGATCTGAGAGCAGGAGGAAGACCCAGGAAAAAACAATAACAGGAAATGTGGACATGGCGGAAGTGCTAAATGCCTTTTTTGTTTCAGTTTTCACGAAAAAGTGTAGTAGCGATCGAATGTCTAACGCAGTGAACACCAGCGAAAATGAGGTCGGATCTGAGGCTACAATAAGGAAAGAACAAGTTAAAAATTGCGTAGACAAGTTAGGTGTCTTCAAGTCACCAGGGCTGGATGAAATCCATCCTAGAATACTCAAGGAGCTGACTGAAGAGATATCTGAGCCATTAGCAATTGTGTTTGAAATCTCATGGAAGACAGGAGAGATTCCAGAGGACTGGAAGAGGGCAAATATAGGGCAGGTCCATAATTAAAATGCTGCACTGGCACAGCTGTGCCGCTGTAGCGCTTTAATGAAGATGCTCTAAGTCAACAGGAGAGACCTTTCCCAGTAGTTAATCCCCTTCCCCAAGAGGCACTAGCTATGTCAACTGGAGGAGTCCTGTTGACATAACACTGTCTACATGAAGAGTTAGGTTGGTATAACTGTGTCACTCAAGGGTGTGGTATTTCACACTCCCGAGCAATGTAGTTATACTGCTAACTGTAGTGTAGACCAGACCAGAGTGCCAATCTATAGAAACAAGAATAAGGACAATCTGGGGAATTACAGCCCAATCAGTTTAACTTCAGTACCTGGAAAGATAATGGAGCAAATAATCAAGCAATCAATTTGCGAACACCTAGAAGATAATAAGGTGATAAATAACAGTCAACACGGATTTGGCAAGAACAAATCATGTCAAACCAACTTAATAGCTTTCCTTGACAGGGTAACAGGCCTTGTGGATGCGGGGAAAGCGGTAGCTGTGGTATATCTTGACTTTAATAAGACTTTTGATATTGTTTTGCATGACCGTCTCATAAAAAAACTAGGCAAATATAGCCTAGATGGAACTACTATGAGGTGGGTGCATAACTGGTTGGAAAACTTTTCCCAGAGAGCAATTATCAGGGGTTCACAGTCAAGCCAGAAGGGCATATCTAGTGGGGTCCTGCAGGGATCGGTCCTGGGTCTGGTTCACTATCTTCTTTAATGATTTAGATAATGGCATAGAGAGGACACTTATAAAGTTTGTGGGCAATACCAAGCTGGGAGGGGTTGCAAGTGCTTTGGAGGAGAGGATTAAAATTAAAAATGATCTGGACAAACTGGAGAAATGGTCTGAAGTAAATAGGATGAAATTCAATAAGGACAAATGCAAAGTGCTCCATTTAGGAAGGAACAATCAGTTGCACACACACAAAATGGGAAATGACTGCCTAGGAAGGAGTACTGTGGAAAGGGATCTGGGGGTCATAGTGGACCACAAGCTAAATATGAGTCAACAGTGTGATGCTACTGCAAAAAAAAGTATTAGCAGGAGTGTTGTAAGCAAGACACGAGAAGTAATTCTTCTGCCTACTCCATGCTGATTAGTCCTCAGCTGGAGTATTATGCCCAGTTCTGGGTGCCACATTTCAGAAAAGATATGGACAAATTGGAGAGTCCAGAGAAGAGCGACAAAAATTATTAAAGGTCTAGAAAACATAACTTATGAGGGAAGGTTGAAAAAAATTGGGTTTGTTTAGTCTGGAGAAGAGAAGACTGAGGGGGACATGATATCAGTTTTCAAGAACATAAAAAGTTGTTACAAGGAGGAGGGTGAAAAAATGTTCTCCTGAATCTCTGAGGCTAGGACAAGAAGCAACGGGCTTAAATTGCAGCAAGGTGGTGTGACACTACGCCCCATATTCTTCATAGAGATATTGTTGTGATATGAATATGGCATTACTAAGTTGTATTTCATGCAAGATGGGTCATGTGCTGTATCATTGAAAATGTTATGATTTACTGAATGTGATTATCCTATTTGTATGCATTTATCATTTCTGTATCTGAAGTTAGGAATATTGACTATGTAACAATTACAAGTGGTTTTTCACCTGAGGAATGCCCACCAGACAAAATGCAATCAGTCTGGCTGGTTAGACAATGGACCATTAGGAAGAACAATAGGACTTTGAAGATGCTAATCTCCCACCTTCCTGAGGTGCTTCCTGGGATGCTGCTTTGACACGGCAGGGTCATGTGATCATGTCACCTGATATCGGACTCCATCTTGGACTGCTAGTATTTTTGCATTAGTGGGGGGCTGGGGGGGGCGGTCAAACTGGGAAACAAAGGATTCCCGCCATATGTAAATCCTATTTAAGGATGGGGAGTGAGTTAATCAGAGTCAGTTCTTCACTGAATCCCCACCCAAGATGACTGCTGAAAACGCCTAAGACTGATCTGGGGAAGAAAGGACTGGACCCAGGCTAGAAGGTGTCTGGCCTGTGAAAGGAATATCTGGAGTTTTAAGCTGCAAGCAAGATCAGTTTGTCTACACGAAACTCTGCAACCTGCTTAAAACAACATTTAAGGTGAGACATTACTACTTGTAGCCAGTTTCTTTAGTGTGTTAAGCTTAGTTTGGGTGTTTGCTTTATTTGCTCAGTAATCTACGTTGATCCTTTATAATCACTTAAAATCTATCCTTTGTAGTTAATAAATGTGGTTTTGTTTTTATAAACCAGTTTGTGGACTTCATAACGGGGGGTGGGGAGGGGAGGGAAGCTGTGCAGATCTTTCTCCACATTGTGGGAGGGAGCGAATTTAATGAGATTACGCTGTACAGTTTTCTGTGCAGTAGAAGACAATATAATTTTGGGTTTACACTCCAGAGGGGGTGTGCACTTGAGGTGTGCTGGGAAATTCCTGAGCTGAGTCTTCCCATGCAGAGATGATCTCAGCGTCTGTGTGTTGCTGCAGCTGGGGGTGTCCCTACCTGTGTGTGTGCTGGAGGAGGCTTGAGGGCCTGGCGCAGCTGGGCAGTGTAAGGGAATCCAGGCTGGTGGAACCAGCGGGCTCAGGGGTACCCCAGTACATCAGGTGGCACCCCGGGGGGGGGGGGGGAACAACCTGTCATAGGGGGGTTTAGGTTGGACATTAGGAAAATCTTCCTAACTCTCAGGGCAGTTAAGCACTGGAACAAATTACCTAGGCAGGTTGTGGAATCCCTGTCATTGGAGGTGTTTAAGAGCAGGCCAGACAAACACCTGTCAGGAATGGTCTAGATAATACTTAGTCCTGCCATGAGTGCAGGGGACTGGACTAGATGACTGATCGAGGGCCCTTCCAGTCCTACACTTCTATGATTCCCTCAAACTGCTCCAACTGAGGGAGAGAGGAGAGGAGCAATTTTCCCTCCACATCCCATGCAAACACTCCCATGAAGGGAGGTGAGGGAGGGAGCTACTGACATAAGTCAGTCGGGGTGGGTAGGAACCCATGAGCTATCTCTGCCTGGAAGATATGACACCTGCTGGGGACAATCCTAAACTCAGACTGCTCACAAGGTCTTTGTAGGGAATCCCAGCTGTTTCCGTCAGGTACTGACAGTTTCTGAGTTGGTTGAATGATTCCTCTCCTGTGCGGCTGCCTCTCAGGATCTCTCTTTCTCCTGAGCCCAGGAGATCTGGGACCCATGGCTCCTCCTCCCATTCCAGCTGGGAGATCACATCAGGTTTGGAAACTGGAAACCCTGCCCAGGGGAAAGAAAACAAGGGAGATCAAGTGAACTCTTGAGACATTTGTCACAAAAATGTTCCATTGTTTTAACCCCGGTCCATTGTAAAGCCATAAAATCCCAGGGACAGATGCCCAGGTGCTCAAAGGTGCAAAGCTCTCTGCTTATGAGGGATTTAACTATCCTCATCTGTGCTGGGAACACACACAGCCAGACACTCACCCTGAAAGAGGCTCCTAAGACACAGAGAAGGTAACTCTATGTGCCAGAAGGCGAGGACTCTCGAAAGAGGGACATCGCCCTGGAACTGCTTCGGACTGAGACAGAAAGAGGCCAAGAGACAACGGGTGAGGCATAGGTAAGGGGACGGCTCTGTCACGGAGGTTACAGAATCTGTGACTTTCCGGGACCTCTGTGACATCTTCCGTGGAGGCAGGGCTGGAGCAGCTGGCAGCCCCGGAGCAGCAGCCACAGGGTTGAAGCAGCAGCTGGGATTGGGTCAGCCCCGCTGGAGCTGGTGCAGTGGTGGGGCTGGAGCAGCTGCTGGCAGTCAGCCCCAGGACCACTGCAGCAGAGATCCTTCAGCCTCTGGAGCAGCTGGCCAGCAGTCAGCCCCAGGGTCGCTGGAGCAGCTTGCTAGTGGTTAGCTCCGGGGTCACCCGAGAAGCTGGCTGGTGGGCTGACCGCTGGCACAGCAGCCACGGGGTTGAAGCAGCAGCCGGAGTTGGCTCAGCCCCTGCTGCAGGAGCAGCGGCGGGGTTGGAGCAGCTGCCGGAGGTCAGCCCTCAGCAGAGCTCCAATTGTTAGTCCCCACCCCCAGGGTATTTTTAGTAAAAGTCAGGGACAGGTCACGGGCTTCCGTGAATGTTAGTTTATTACCCACGAATTGTCCCTGACTTTTACTAAAACTACCCAGGACAGAATTTGAACCTTAGTCCCATGGAAGCACATGAAAAGATGGGAGTTGCCTTACCAAGGGGGGGGGTCAGTGCTAACGAGGCCAATTCAATTAGGGTGGATGTGGCAACTGTTGGGGATGGGCTACATCCACCCTAATTGAATTGGCCTCATTAGCACTCACCTCCCACTTGGGAGTTGCCTTACCATCTTTTCATCTGCTGTATATTTATACCTGCCTACTTTTTTTCACTCCATGCATCTGATGAAGTGGGTTATGAAGTGGGTTATAGCCCACAAAAGCTTATGCCCAAATAAATTTGTTAGTCTCTAAGGTGCCACAAGGACTCCTCGTTGTTTTAACCATGGTATGTAACCTATCACTTAAACTAGCCTTTGTATCAGATGACTGGAAGATAGCTAAATAATGCTGATTTTTCAAAAAGGCTCCAGAGGCGATCCTGGCAATTACCAGCTGCTAAGTCTAACTTCAGCACCAGACAAATTGGTTGAAACTATAGTAAAGAACAGAAATATCAGACACATAGAAGAACATGATATATTGGGGAAGAGTCAACACAGCTCTTGTAAAGGGAAATCATACCTCACCAATCTATTAGGATTATCTGAGGTTGTCAGCAAGCATGTGGACAAGGCTGATATAATGTACCTGGACTTTCACAAAGCCTTTGACAAGCTCCCACTCCAAGCTAGCCGGACCATTGGTCTGACCCAACATGGCCATTCTTATGTTCTTATGAAGAAAACTGTCACAGTACACCACTGATCCCAGACTCCCAAAGGTGTCTGCACTCAGCAAAGTGAATAGTCATGGAATAAGATGGAATGTCCACTCTTGGCTCAGTAACTGGATCGGAAACAAAGGGTAGGAATAAATCGTCAGTTTTTAGAGTGGAGAGAGGTAAACTCTGGGTTCCCCCAAGGATGTGTACTAGGACCTTCTGTTCAACATATTCATTAATGATCTAAAAAAAGGGGGTGAACAGTGAGATGGCAAATTTTGCAAATACAAAATTACTCAAGATAGTTAAGTCCAAAGCGGGCTGTGAAGAGTTACAAAGGGACCTCACAAAACTGGGGGACTGGGTGACAAATTGGCAGATGAAATTCAATATTGATAAGTGCAAAATAATGCAGACTGGAAAAAAAATCCCAGTGATTCAACAAGATGAAGTGGTTCTAAATTAATTGTTACCTGTCCAAGAAAGAGATCTTGGCGTCATTGTGAATAGTTCTCTGAAAACATTGCTCAATGTGCAGTGGCAGTCAAAAAAAGCAAACAGAATGTTAGGAACAATCAGAAAAGGGAAGATAAAATAGAAATATCATAAAGCCACCATATGAATCCATGGTACACCCACACTCTGAATACTGCATACAGTTCTAGTCATCCCATTTCAAAAAAGATATATTGGAATCAGAAAAGGTACGCAGAAGGGGAATGAAAATGATTAGGGATATAGAACAGCTTCTGTAGGAGGAATAATTAAAAAGACTGGGACTGTTAAAGAGATGACCATGGGAGGGATCTGACAGAGGTCTTTACAATCATGAATGGTGTGGAAACGTGACTAGGGAAGTGTTATTTACCTTCACATAACACAAGAACCAGGGGTCACCCCATGAAATTAATAGGCAGCAGGTTTAAAACAAACATAAGGAAGTACTTCACAAAGCACACAGCCAACCTGTGGAACTCATTGCCAGAGGATATTGTGAAGGTCAAAAGAATACCTAGGTTCAAAAATGAATTAGATAAGTTCATGGAGGACAAGTCCATCAATACCTATTTGCCAAGATGGAACCAAGGCTGTGGGCTTCCCTAAACCTCCAACTACCAGAAGCTGGGGGTGGACAACAGGGGATGGATCACGCAGTAATTGCCCTGTTTTGTTCATCCCCTCTGAAGCATCTGGCACTGGCCACTCTCAGAAGACGGGATACTGGGTTAGCCGGACCATTGGTCTGACCCAACATGGCCATTCTTACGTTCTTATGACGAAGGCGGTCACTGTACACCACTGATCCAGACTCCCAAAGGTGTCTGCACTCAGCCTGACCTGCTGGCTAAGCATGGTTGATATACAGGGTATTGTACCCAGGGCTTGGTCTAGGATCTGGAAAATTGTGTAATTCCACTCCAGGAGATGGAAAGACCAGAGGCCTAACACCTGAGGGGGGCGCTCGGAGAGAACAGGAAGGGGATAGAGATACAGTTAGCCCTGTTACTCACTCTGACACCCACTTCCCTTCCTCCCACTGCTGTCAGCTCTCCCCAGCTCCTGGGACTCCAGGAACACCCACTTCTTGTGGTCTCTCCTCCACTCCTATTGCTTCTCTCTACCAGTTCCCTCAAATTTCTGGCTCCCCAACCACTTTCCAACCCTTTCCACTGTCCCAAGTGTTCCTTGCTCCTGAGTCCCAGGAGCTCCTGCCCAAAAAAGTGTCCCTTCCCTGCCTCCCCTTGCTAGCACCTTCTTTCCTGGAGCAGCTGCCACCCTCTCTTTACTCTCACTATCACCAACCCTCCCAGCTCCTTGAGGTCCTGGTCCAGCACTGTGTCCCATTGCGCCCAGGCCCTCACTGCACCCCAACTCCTTACAACACCTACTCTATGGAATCCCCCCTTCCCACTATCCCCAGATCTCTTGGCTCACTGGTGCTGTTTGCCCCAAGTCTCCCCATACCCCATCCTGCCACCCTCCAGCCCCTCCCCTAATTGGGGGAGGGTTAGCTCAGTGGTTTGAGTATTGGCCTGCTAAACCCAGGGTTGTGAGTTCTCAAGGAGTCCCTCCTTGAGGGAGACATTTAGGGAGCAGGGCACACATGCGTGCACACCCACAAAAAACTGTCAGGGACAGTACTTGGTCTTGCTGGTGAAGGCAGGGGACTGGACTCAATGACTTTTCAAGGTTCCTTCCAGTTTTAGGAGATAGGTATATCATCTAGTAGCCTGAGTAATGGACCAGCATCCCCTTGTGCTGGACATTCTACAAACACAACAGGCCCTGTCCCAGAGCACTGGCAATTTAAGAATAAGATGAGAGACAGATGGACACAGATAGATGCGGGCGGGGAAGGAAATGACGAGACGTGTTGGTGACTCTGATAGGCAGTGATCTTAGTACACCAGCATCCTAGCCATTGTTACATTTGGTAGGCCCCATGGAAAAGGTGAGTTGTGGGGAGGGATGGGAAGGAGGAAGCTTGGGGGATACTTTTGAGGAGCTCCTCCCAAGCATGAGGAGCAGTGGCGAGGGCACAAAGGGGCTTGTTTGAAATGTTAACAAGTGGGTGATGGAATATGACACTATGGTCCGGTGAGAGGTCAAAGTCAGCATCTCGACATTTGGCCTTAAAAGTGAAGATTAGCAGCTTATGTTTGATTCAATAGAGGCAGGGGAGCCAGAGGAAAGACTCAAAGAAAGGCCTTTGTCATGAATTGTCAGTGTCTTATATGCCCCATCCTTTAGACAGTCTCTCTTGGGAGCACCTCTCCACTGCATCAGGGGCCAAGCTTCCCATGTCCACAGACTTGTTGGTCTGGGGGAGCGTGGGCTCCTAAGCCCACCCACCCCGACCTCGGCTTGAGAGTCTGAGCTCCAGGCCAAGCCCAGCCCTGAGCTCCAGACCCGTAGTGTGTAGGTGTAGCTTTCTCTGGGGACATCCCCCACAGCTTTACTATTCAGAGACCAGGCCTCCTGGTGGCCACACCTATTTTTCTCGTTGTGGCTCTCCAGGGAGTCCAAATCATTTCAAATTCCTGCTAGACACTCTCTCTGCAGGAGGAGATTGGCAGCATCGCAAGAAGAACCTGGCCTTTATTAAACAATTGGACTATAGAACGGAAGCGTCATTAGGTTAGTCTGATGGAACAAAACAAATCAAAATTTATGTTGGCAGACTCATTTGCCCAGCTTTTCCAAATCCTCCTCAATTTCAGCTCTTTCTCTCCTTCCCTCTCCCCTGTTTCAGTCTCTGTGCCCTCCTGGGCAGCAGCAAACTCCTGTTCACACCCAGTCCCTTTGTCCCAGGTTGCACGTCCTTTGTGTTCCCATGTTCTGCTTCCCTTGTCTCCTAGTCATTACGTATTAGTGTCCAGTTGTTGGTATTGCAGTTCAGGGTGACTGCACCTGTATTCCCTCTCTATGATCCACCAAGCGCACCCACGCTCAGGCTTCGAGCTCCCCAGCTGTCACCTTTCTTGGGCACTGACACACGTCTCACTGCCTCCTGCCAAGGGTATTTCCAGGCTGCACTATCCCCTGCCTAGGCTCTGAATTCCCCAGCAAAACATACTATCCTAGCAGGCCTGCCTTGCCTTGCCTTGCCTTGCCTTGCCTTCAGAGACGGTAAACAGTGTAATTGCCCACAGGTTAGACACAGCTCTGTCTAAGCAAGTGCATTAATTCTTAAGGAGAAAGCAATACAGAGAAAATATTTATTCAAACGGTAAAAGAACTGACATGCCTGCTAATAAGCTCACCAGAGATCAATCGCTGCAACTCCAACAAGCTCTGTGGCTGGTAAGCATTTCTTCATGCACACCAAGGGTTTTTTCTGGGGGGGGGCAAACTACGGCCCACCAGCCATTTTAATCCAGCCCTCAAGCTCCCACTCTGGTGCTCCAGCTGGGGAGTAGGGTTGGGGGCTGCTCTGTGCAGCTCCCGAAAGCAGCAGCATGTCCCCGCTCCAGCTCCTACACGTAGGGGCAGCCAGGGGGTGCTGCTCCACACACTGTTGCCACCCCAAGTGTCACCCCCATTGACCAGGAACCGTGGCCAATCGGAGCTGCAGGGGCGGTGCTTGCAGACTGGGCAGCGTGCACCAGAGCCGCCTGGCTGTGCCTCCATGTAGGAGCTGGAGGGGGGCATGCCGCTGCTTCTGGGAGCCGCTTGAGGTAAGCGCCGCCCCGAGCCTGCACCCCTGAGCCACCCCCCTACACCCCAACCCCCTGCCCCAGCCCTGATCCCCTCCCGCCCTCCAAACCCCTTGGTCCCAGCCC